CAGAAGATGGTGGGATCATACATTGGGGTCTCAGACACTGAAAGAAAGGCTTCCTGGAAGGGCTCAATTGGCACAAAATAATAAAAAGTGGGAATTACTGAGCATTTTCTTTCCAGGCTGGCATATTTTGTCTTATCAATGTATTTGATGTTTTAAATCAGCTGAAGTTTCAGGTTGCTTGGTTCTGCATGGGGTAAAAACAGTGCTACTATTAAAAGTAACATAACATGAATACCTTTTGCTCAAATGTTCCCAAACTTGACATAGAGCAAGAGCAGACTTTCTGTTACATCTGTGCCAAACATGGTGCTGCTTTGGCATCCATTTATATACATTTTTTGCTTTGGATATCCCTTTCTTTTTAGTTTACTTACAAAATGCAGACTGCTTCTCCTGCACAGTATTTATGCTCTATGCTTGTTCAGCAATAATAAAAAAAACAGATAATATTGTGATTGAGGTAGGAATGTAAATCTCACAGCCTCTTGAGTCTCAGAAAGGAAGAGGGGTGAGAGGACACAATTCCCTTTTACACCTTTTAGTGAGTTTTCTCACTTTTTTGACGTTTTGTCTTTTTTTAAAAGGGGGAAATGTCTCTCTGTGCCAGATTATTGGAATTCCTCTGGAAAAATCACATTTTTGTGCATAACATTCACCCAGAGAAGGCAGAAGAAGGAACACCATGTTGTGTAGGATTCCTGTGTAAAATAGCATCTTTTATGCACTGGATTCAACAAAAAGACTAATGAGCTGTTCAGCATTTGGCAGTTTTCGAAGCAGGAAATGTGAGGGAGGAGCTGAAACATGAGAACACGTGGTTGTTTTCACAGAAAGCTAGGAAATTCTGGTTTATGCACTGGATTCAACAAAAAGACTTCAGCATTTGGCAGTTTTCTAAGCAGGAAATGTGAGGGAGGAGCTGAAAAATGAGAACACATAGTTGTTTTCACAGAAAGCTAGGAAATTCTGGGTGTACTGGTGTTACAGAATTTATAGTCTTACATGTCTAATTTTGCATTTTTCTTAAGGTAAATACCTGCATATGCTAAAAAAGCATGCTATATTCTCAAATTAAGTATTCCCTGACCCCTGGTTGATTTCAGGCATCTTAATCATGAGTAAATTAGTCAGTAAACAAGGTGAAATAAGAAGGACAGTGGGCATTGAAAAGGCAAGGCTGTGACTATGAGGTGCCAGAAGAAAATATAGGTATATATTGTAATGTACTGTAATATGAACAATTAAACAATGTCAAAATACTCATTTAGCCTTGGTGATGAACAGGATAAACACAAAGGAGGGGTTTCAAAACCAATCGGGGATATCTTTGTAAAGACAACCCAGGAATAAACAGTTTATCCATTGTGACTGACACTTTACTTATGAAAGTTTCATTGCTTTATCAACCTTTTTATGCTCTCTGAAAACTAGAGAGCCGAATTTATTTGGGTTGCTACCCCTGTTCGTCTCCTAACCTGTAGGTTAAATAAACCAGACTTTTAATTATATTCATATTTGCATGTGTGTGTGGTATATTTCTGTCCCTTTTTCAGGGGTCACAAAAAATTGGACCTGACAGAGGAACTGAACCAGAATTTTTACAACATTGGCACAGTGTTCCTCACTGAGGAATCTCAGAATGGTAAGACTTGAGAAACTATCATGAATGATTAATTTTCTGAATATTGCCCATATTATTAGATTGAGGCAGGATTAGATGTCAATATCAGTATCACAGAACACGATTTTAAGAATAACATACATCTGAAATACCTGAATTTTGAAAGAAGCAATCACTTAGATCTAGCTGCATTCCTCCATGCAGTTTGAAGAAAATGCAAATTCACTTCTGCAGTTAAAGCATAAACCTTCTGCAACCTTCTAGCAGATTCGCCAGCTTGGGGGGGGGGGCAGCCTCAGATCCCCAAGGGCTGTAGGAGAAGTACTGCCACGTATTTCATAAGAGAGTATGGAGGGCTCCGTACTGCTTTTCCTGGGATGCCAGCCAATGGCTCACGATGATTATATAGTAAACTTCATGTACTCTAAACAAGCTAGTCCAATAGGATGATTTTTTAATACTTTCTTTGGAACCACTCTTGACTAACTCTTCCAAGTCCAACGGTTTGTTTGCAGAAACTAGTGGTGAAATCTAAGAGTCCCAAACCCAGAACATGTGTTGTACATTCAGATCCTTCCACTGCATTGAAGAGACTAAAGGCCATCAAGTACTGCCATGACCTCAATCAAGCTTCACAGTGTGCCACCAAGAGCGCAAAGAAACCCAGAGGACTCACTGTCCAATAAGTGGAGCTTCTCCACATGGTTCAAGGTGTTCTTTCTTCCGGGCAAAAGCAAACATTACAACCATTGCCCCCCCAACCCCGGAATAAGGTGGAGATGTCCAAAGCTTTGTATAGTCAGGTTATACTGGATGTGGCCTGAGGATGTAGACAAGGCACTTGCATGCTGCAAACTGACATTGACTCCAGATAAGATGGAGGTCTTACTGTTGGGAGGTCTCCCTGAGTGGTTAGAGGATGATTTATCTGACTAACTGCCCCGGAAGGATTAGATATGCAGCCTGTGTGTCCTCCTATACTAAGCTCTTACTATGGAGGCACAAACATCTGCACAAACACCTTCAGGCAATTGCCCAGGTGCACCCCTATCTGGAGAGAAAATGCTTATCTGGAGAGAAAATGCTTATCTGGAGAGAAAATGCTAAACTGGCCTATGCTTTAGTACTGTAATCTCCAGAAAGACTACTGCAATTCTCTCCATGTAGGGCTGCCCCTGATCAAATGTCTTCAGTTCTGGCATGTCTCTACTGGCTTCATTTCTGTGCTCAGTTCAAGGTGCTGATTTACACCTATAAAGCCCTAAGTGGTTTAGGGCCTTGATACCTGCTGGAACATCTCTCCTACAGAATAGCTACCCATCCAACTTGCTCTTTGCACTTTTTACCATTAAGAATTGTAACACTGAAGGAGGCCAAGAAAGACATCAGTAGAAACCAAACCTTTTTCTCTTCTGGCCTCTCATTTATGGAATAAATTATCACTTGAAGTTCACCAGGCTCCCACCAGCCCAGTTTTTTTAAACTCTTAAAAACAGGACTATTTAAAACTGCCTTTTATTAATGCCCTCCTTTTGATGATTGTGTTTTAAATCTGGTTTATATTGGTAAGCTGTGTTGCATTTTCATGGCTTTTAATTTATTGTATTATTTGTCAACCGCCCAGAGAGTGCACATTGTACAAATAAATAATCAACTCCATTTCAGCATATGCCAGTCTTGGGTTGGTTTCATGTGCAAAAATAATCAACCAAGCTGACTCGTGACCTGGCCCCCATGCTTGCTCTAGGCACATCATTGTTATTTTCCACTGATCAGGGTTTTTCACAGCATCCCACAAACTGGCAGTAATGGATGACATGGCCTGGCCATGTCACAAGCAAGCCTGTCCTCCTCCCCCATAACCTTGACTTAACTGTGCTTTTATGGGTTACATGGAAACAGAGGAAAGGCTAGACGCACATTTGATTGTCAAGGGATCTTTTGCATGTCATTGTCTTTGCCAAGGAATCCCAGGATACCTGACACATAGCCTCATGTGTTGTAGAGGATTTTGTGATATATTCAAAGTGTATACTCACTCAGGGAAATACCAATCAAATCAGTTTGGCTTCAGCATTCCCCTGTAACTGGGAATGTGCCCTAAAACAAACCTAATACAGTGGTGCCTCGCTTAGCGATTGCTCCGTTGAGCAATGAAATTGCTTAGCAATGGGGTTTTGGCCATCGCCAGAGTGATCGCTTAGCGATGGCCTCTATGGGGAAAAATTACTTTGCGATGATCACGGGGAGGCGATCATGGCAAAGCGACCCTTTTTGCACAGCTGTTCGGCGGTTCCAGAATGGCTGCCAGACAAACAAAATGGCCACCCGCTATTTTGCCTCGCTTTAGAGGCACCGAAAATGGCCACCCCTATGGAGGATCTTCGCATAAGGTCAGTTTTTAAGCCCATAGGAACACATTAAACACGTTTTAATGCATTTCTATGGGCTTTTTAAAATTGCTTAGCGATTAAATCGCTTAGCAACGTTTTTCCCGGAACGGATTAACATTGCTAAGCAAGGCACCACGGTAACTTTAAATGACTACTAACTGCATGCATAGATTATGACTAGCAAGATGTGTTTCATGGAACCTCATCAGCCATTACTGCTCTCACTGCAAACACAAAGTTCCAGGTTTCTGAGAATAGCCTTTGAAAACCATTAGCATATAAAATGCTTTTCTTCTGTTGCATCCACAATTTGTATTTTCTCTCATCAGTTATTCATTAGGGGAAAAAACAAACAAACACCAGAGTAATAATTCAGCCATTTTTAATGAATATTTGTTTCAAAATAGAAAAATTAAGGCACATCTTGAATTCTTTTTCAGAAAACATTATGACATTTAAGTGATGACATTTTGTTACTCCACAAAAATTCTCGCATAGGTGACAAAGAAATATGGCAGAAGCAAATAAACAAGTTATAAAATGGCAATTTACAAACATTACCCATATTAATAATGGAAAACAGCAAAGCATTTTTGATTCAAAAGGTTTGCGATTATATCAAAACTGTTTTTCTTCCCAACAGGAACAATATTTTATCTTAATCTGACTGTCCATTCTGCATTAGAAAATTTAGTAATTCCAAAGGCTAACATGTTACAATTGTTACCACTGTCTTCTATGCATAAATGTTATACTTGAGATATCTGATCAATTTTTAGATTGATCAGATTATTTAATATCATACCTCATGAATAAAACTCACTGAATTCAGTGGGGCTTATATATGTTTGAGCTTTCTATTGAGTTCAATAAACATTCTGCAAATTTCACATCCTCAAAATATTATTGGATTTAAACTGATTTAATCCAATGGAAGTGAACTCAAATCCTTCCAATCAGTTGGGTGCAGTTTTTTTTTTTTTAAAAAAATGACAATGTATCAAGCAGTCAGAAAAGAATCTGGCAATTATTTCTGTGCTTGTAAAGCAAAATAGTGATTTGTGCACTGTGCTCCTAACAATCGATGATACATGCATGTAATTTAGACTTGGGTTTCATCAGCCAAGTAGGGAATAAAGCATCTTTTTGTTGTAAGTATCTAATCAAAGGCAATCCATGAACTGATTTGATATGTGTGAGTGATTTTTCTGGAATGCTCCCTGATAAGGTATGGGAAAGAAGAATCTACATTCAGCATCTTCACATACACATGGCTGAACATGTGTAGAATTTGAAATTCAATCAACCTCACCCCCTCCTCACAGATACTGCTTCTCTAAACAATGAACCATGGTGAGGATCAAGTGCTCCTTATGTGTAGCAGTGTATTATCTGCAACTGCTAGATGGGAATCAAAGCCTAGTTTAGAATCTTAAGTAACCCGTAAAAAAAATCCACCAACATTCCTGAAAAACCAGCATTTTGAAGTGGTAATTCTTTGAAAACAGAGACCAAATGCACAAGATTCATTGATAAATGTTTCTAAGCAGTAATGAAAACAAAAGTCTGATGTCAATCTCTAGAGAATGCTTTGAATGTTTAAGGTAATGTTGTCTGTGTCACAGTGATATTTAAATATGTCATTAAAATTTAATATTCAGATATTAATGCTTTTGCTCATGTAAAAGTGCTTAGCTTAAATTTCTTAGGTGACATCATTTGTTTTCATTTATTCCCAGATGAGATATAATTTATAATTCTAATTCATAGAAAATGGATACATCCTGAATTAATCTCTCCTCATTAGGCATATTTTCAGAAAGTACTTCCTGTTACATGTACTCCCATGTTATTTTATAGGGTAGTGGGTGCTATGCCCAATTGTTAATGAGAGCATGTGATTTAATACATGTTTTCCCGTGTCAAGCAATCTTTTCCTTGTCACTTGTCCTTCAATCAATATTTTCCTCAGCGCTTCAGTTCTTCAGTTACCTTTCTGTGGATTCTGTTTTTTGGCACCAGGACGGACAAGCCTTGTTCTTCTTCGTGGTGATCCTGTTAAGCCCCCCGCAAAAAAGCATGGATATTATATATCATTTTATAGATCTATTAATTTAAAAATTTTCATTTACCCTTCATCCAAATGGGTATCAAATGCACCAAAACCAACAGAACTCCATCATTGTCATTATTGTCTTTGTTGTCATTGTTGTCAAAGAATGGATACGTTTTTGGGAGAATCTTCCCTCACATTCGAAAAGCTGGCATGGACATCAGCGAAAACACAGCCAGTCCTTCCATCAACATCTAATTAAGATGGAGAATCAGTGACTTTCCAAGCTCTGATTAACACCACCAGTGTTTGTAAATAAAGTGTGTACAGTGGTGCCCCGCATAGCGACATTAATCCATTCCGGATTAATCATCGCTATGCCGAAACATCGCTAAACGGATTGAAAAAACCCATAGGAACGCATTAAACTTGGTTTAATGCATTCCTATGGGGCCAAAACTCACCGTTCAGCGAAGACCTTCCATACTGCCGCCATTTTTGCGCCCTCGGTAAGCGAGGGCAGGGCGCGAAAACACTTGCAGTGGCCATTTTGGGCACCCGGCGGCCATTTTGGAACCGCCAATCAGCTGTTTAAAAAACCATCGCAATGCAAAGATCGGTAAGCGAAACGCTTACCGATCATCACAATGCAAGTTTTTGCCTATGTAAACATCGCAATGTGATCGCTTTTGCGATTGCAAAAGCGACATCGCTATGCGGATTCGTTGTTAAACAGTGCGCTCGTTAAGCGAGGCACCACCGTATATGAAAAAAGTCTTAGCCTGATTTAAATCGGAATATGCTTACTATTTTCAGTTAAGCATAACAAATTCAGAGTCCTACCTTGTGTCCTTCTTGATGTCTGTATTTTTCTTACTGGTGTTTCTATAAATAAATA